CTTTTCTTCAATAATATCCTCTTTTTAAATGGTGCCCCATAAGCCCCACGCTTTGCAAACGCCTTGAAGATTGTTGCATTAGTTATTTACAATCGAATATGAATTTTAGACCGCAACGTTTGTTTTAATTTTGCAAAATAAAAGCAGCCCTATGTTACTCCTTAGTACATCAGCTACCTGCGTATAAAAGTCTTGCAAAATCGGTCGAGCCATTCCAGAGATTAGCCAGTGCAAACAGACAGACAGACAGTCATAAATTGTAAAAAAAATGATATTCTGGTATGTGTATATCGTAGGTATGTATATAGCCAAAGAGCCATCAGAATCAGACCACCACAGATGGGGCCCAATAGGGCCGTTGCCGATTCCGAGTCGCGGAGAACCTAACGGGTAACCGGGGCTCCGGCTCGAAGTGCAGGAGAAGGAACGGGGTGGTTTTTAGTCAGTAAGAGTCTAACACTCCCTCCCGCCTCACCCAGGCGGGAGCAGTCATTCGATGATTTTCCCCCCTTAAAAAAAAATAAAATAAAAAAGGGGTATGTATATATATTTATATACATTTAGTAAAAACCGGTTATTTTAATATTACAAACAGAACAGACACTCCAATTTTATTTATCTTTATAGGTATGAACTTACTTACTTTGTAAATAAACAAAAAAACGTTTTTGTTTATCACATAACAGCGATGGGTTTTTATCAAAAATTATTCGTTTATCATTTATATCAAGGAAACAGTTGGTCATTGAAGTTTACAAAGTAATTTCGAATTACGTAAAATGTACATATTTCAATGTCATAATATTGCGAATTCCATTTTGTTAGATAATTGTGATGATGACAGGGTATGAAAATATAAAATCTAATTAGTCCGTAAGGTAGGTAATGAAAGAATATTAGACACGTAGTTTTTTAATTTGCCGTGTAATAAAACAATACTTAAATAAAACGAATCAAAGTTTAGGAGTGGGAGCTAAAACGTCATTTCTACGTATAAAATGTATATAGAAGTGACGTCACGCGACATTTCAAATCAATATATCGTCGAAAGTATTCGTTTCTGTAAGAAAATAAAAAATACGTGTCTAATGATTTAAAATAACCTACTAGACGGACATTAAAATTAAATTAGGCATCTACCCTATTCTTTTAAACGAGAATAGGGTACTTAGACTTATCACCTGATGGTAAGATATCAGTGCCGCCCATGGACACCCGAACACTAGAGTTACTAGTGCGTTGTTCGTTTTGGGAGGAGTTAGGACCTCTGGTCACCTCACTCATGTGAGTGTCATGTCATGTGACTAGTGTTACGCCGGTGTACTTCGAGGCCTTGGTATCACTCCGGTCGAGCTGACACAGTAGTGCCGTAGCATGGCTCTCCTATACGAAAATCGTCCCACATAAGAAAAGGGATGTAGTCTCTTCTCTGTAGTTTCGCTCTTGGCAGAGCGGTCGTGTTCACGTTGAGGCGGCCGTATTTGTGTTGGAGGTCGATACTGCTTTCCTCACGATCTCCCGCCATCTCTTCCTGTTTGTGGATTGTCTGGGAAGGAGTGGAGTACTGATGATGAAATTGTATTTCTTCAAATAGGTTATAAAGTAACTCTTTTATACGTCAATCTTTAAATAACTAGATGAGGGCCAGCATTTCCTAACTGCTTACTCTGAGAAGAAACACCGAAACAAACTCAAAGGTCATTGTCTCGTTTTCAAGTCAAGGATATATAACAAATACCGGGCAGCAGCGCTCTCTAATAAACCTGAACGTTTTAAGATCTCCAACCCGCCAGAATCTGAAGTTACGGCAAACCTCTTTTCAGTATGTTGTTTTTTCTAGACCTATCCACGTGGCTGTGCTGACGAATGATGTAGACCTGCTCAGACGTCAATGCTTAGTGCTGAAGATGAGAGGTTCTACGGTGGACCTGCTTGCTGACGGAACGGTGAGATAACTCATTTATTTATTCATTTGCTTCTGTTAAAAGATCATTATCTATCCCTGTTCCAAGTTTCAACCCGATACCTTCAGCCGTTTTGACGAACATACAAATAAACTTAGAAACATTCTCATTTATAATATTTATAACTGTAATAATATTATAACTTACTAACGAATCGATAAGGGGATTGGAAAAAACGTAGTAAGAGTTATTACGTTCTTAGGTATATGAGTATTTTATAACATAACTAGCTTTTACCCGCGGCTTCGCTTGCGTCACAAAAGGATAAAAAGCCAATGTGACAAATACCAATACACAGCGCCATCTATACCAATACTTTTGTATTCCCTCGGGAATATCAATTTTTTCCGGGATAAAAAGTACCCTATTAGTCAATCCGGACTTTTAACTATACATCTGCAAAATTCAAAGCAATCTGTTTAGTAGTTATGGTGTGATAAACAAACAAACAAACTCACTTTCCGATTTATAATATTAGTAAGGATAAGGATAAGGATTGTTGTGTAAAGGAGGCCATACACGGTAGGTTTTGCATGTTGGTTTTAGCCGTGCATGCATAACGGACAGGCAAGCCCTAGCGTGTCGCGGAGAACCTAACGGGTAACCGAGGCTCCGGCTCGACGTGCAGGAGAAGGAACGGGGTGGTTTTTAGTCGGTAAGAGTCTGACACTCCCTCCCGCCTCACCCAGGCGGGAGCAGTCATTCGATAACTTTCCTCCCTTAAAATATAGCAAAATTCTATATATAAAAATTATATTAAATTATATTATATTAAATTATACTTGGAAAAAGTCACATTGGTACTTGCCGTTGGTAGGTTTCGAGCCCGCACCCTCATGCATGAGAAGCGGGCGTCTTAAACCTCAGGGCCACCACGATCACTGACTATTACTTTACATTATATATGTATATAGCTAGATTACTTTACATGTAGCATTGTTAGATAAGGCTAGTGTTCTAGCATTGTGTTGAAAATACAATACTTTATGTACTGATCAAATATTAACTTATGCATGAGTCTTTATTATATATATAAAGTACCTAACCTATATATATTATCGAAATAAGAAAATCTATTTTAAGTGTAGGAGAGCCATGCTTCAGCACGAATGAACCGGCTCGACCGGAGTGGTACCACGGCCTCACAGAAAACCGACGTGAAACAACGCTTGCGTTGTATTTCGTCGTGTGAGTGAGATTATCGGAACCCCAAATCCCAAATAATCCTCAAATTTCTAATCCATAAAAGGCCGGTAACCCACTTTTAACACCTCTGGTGTTCCAGGTGTCCATGAGCGGCGCCAATTGCTTACCATCAGGTGATCCGTCTGCTTGTTTACCGGCTTATTCTATAAAAAAACCTACACATAAATGTAACTGCTAATACTTTTACCATTAGTAGTTATTACTCTCGGGGAATTACCTCGCATTATATGTAAAAGGTCAAGAGAGTGGAACTACATTCATAATAATAATATATGTTTATCACATACATGTACACATGCATGTATATAAGGAAAACATCGTGAGGAAACCTGGACTTATAATTTCCAATAGGGATGATGACAGGGTATGAAAATTAAAAATATAATTAGTCCGTAAGTAAGGTAATGAAAAAATATTAGACATGTATTTTTTTATTTTGTCGTATAATAAAACAATACTTAGATAAAACGAATCAAAGTTTAGGAGTGGGGGCTAAAACGTCATTTCTACGTATAAAATGTACATAGAAGTGACGTCACGCGACATTTCAAATCAATATACCGTCGAAAGTATTTATTTCTGGAAGAAAATAAAAAATACGTGTCTAATGATTTAAAATAATCTACCAGGCGGCCATTAAAATAAAAATTAGGCATCATATTATAAGTTTGATTTCACCAACCCGCATTGAGGAAGCGTGGTGATTAATGCTCAAACCTCCGTGAGAGGCATTTGCTGAGCAGTGGCCACTTATAGACTGATGATGATGATGTATGAATGATACTGGCTGGTGCTGAATAACAGCGCCGTGGACTCGACCTTCCTGCCCGGGTCACAGCATGAAACTGAGCACCGGCCTTTTGCGCTACGACGCACCATGGACTTCATTTTGTTGTGCCTTTGTTCTTGTCTACGTGTGTATCATGGCCTATTAAATGATTCCTTCTTTCATGCAATTAAACTGTCAAACACCAAGCGGTCACCGGTGACCGCAACCTATTGTTCTAGAGGTATAATTGAGTCTATAATGGATGAATCTCGACGAGTTAAGTGATAATATTTATGTTTAAAAGAAGCAAGCCTCAATCTTATGTCGTGGTGGCCCGGAGTTTTAAGACGCCCACTTCTCATGCATGAGGGTTCAAAACCTACCAACGGCAAGTACCAATGTGACATTTTCCGAGTTATATGTACTTTCTAAGATTATTTAGACACCACTGACAAACGGTAAAGGAAAACATCGTGAGGAAACCTGAGCTTATAATTTCTAATAATAAGTTTGTAATCGCCAAGCCAACCCGCATTGAGCAAGCGTGGTAATCAATGCTCAAACCTTCTCCGAGTGCTCAGCAGTGGGCATTTATAGGCTGTTGATGATAATGAAGCCTCAATCTCCTAGCATAGCGTGAAGAGATTGATGAATGGTGATGAAGCTAGAAGTATGTCAGTATCGTGGCAGATGGCCTTCTAATGGTCTCTGTCTACCGTAATGGTAGACACGCGTGTGTATAAGGTAATATACATAGGCGGTTGTTTAGTTAAGCAGGAAATTAATTCTGTCATACTGTTTCCTGTTTCACTTGCTATATTAAACGAGGAAATGTACATATTTGCCTCGTTGACCGAGTGGTC